ACAATTACATACAATTAATATGTACTTTCATTTTGATGCAACAAAGTAACATAACTGTTCTTGAAATTCATAGAATATAGAACTCCGACTATACACTCAATGCACTTCGTACGTGGACTGATCAAGTGTGATGAGAATACTGAGTGAAAAGTGACGAAAATTTTAAGCTTTCACTTTTCTTTTACAAATACATACTACAAGAAGATTCGGTACATGCATCACTTACAGAAGAACCAGAGGTTTTTTTATAATATGCTAGCTGATGTCTCTAATTTTCAAACACAAAGCTAGGAAATGTTCGATATTTAAGTACACCTCTCTGAAGCTGTCCATTTTTCGGTTCCATCACTTGAGCTAACATAAATTCACTTAAAAAAAGTGGATACCGAATAGATGTAGGAAATGCGAAGGAGACAAAGGCCACGTCAATCAAAAATAATAAGAATAAAACAAGATTCGATAACAAATGTCAACCAGAGATTTGAGCTAGAAAATATCAATGGGTTATGGTTAGTTTGCATAAAATATTCAAAGTTACAGCGAAGGTCGGACCGAGTCGGGTTGAAAAATCACTAACAACAAGTGAGGTGATAGGAATCGGGGCATAATATCGTGACATTTTCCAACACAATGAATAATCTACGGCGTTTCCGAATCGACGTCTGTCTAACCAAAATTATATTAGCCCTGAATCATAGGTGTAGAGTGGACGACAATTGGGCTTTAGTGAGATAGTTGCGACTTGCGAAGGTACTTCAACTATTTCGCAGATGAAAACACTCTACAATGTTCGATCAACAATTTCAGTCACAATGAATATAAAACCATTAAGCCACAGGTTTTCACGAAGTAACATTTCGAATTTAGGCTGTGCACGTAACCGAAATAATAAAGATGGCGAATTATCCTGAAATCATTTAACTCGAATGAAACCTCATAATTCATTAGCGAGACAATTCTCAGTTACCAGTATATATAGGTACTAAAATGCTTCTCAAATTCACTATCGCTGTGAATAGGTACAATTCAAAAGCAGAATCGGGCAAACTGTCCCACATGAATCCAATCATTCGGGGCTCAAAGTGGTGTAGACAAAATCAGAGGGTTCTATAAGTTGGTTCTAATTTGATGCGAACCGCTTGTGTATTGCGACAAGGTTTAGCTTTCATTGAAAAAACTCGACGATAGAGGGAAACAGCCAACTCAAATTAAACTTGTAATAATACACTTACCCAAGAATGTTGTCAAAACCGTCACCCATACCCATGAGCGATCCGAACATTTTCAAATATGTTGCAAGGGATCGATCGAAGAATTGCACAAGTTTCTGTCAGTCTCAGACTATTGGTCAAATTCCAAAACTAGGCAACGGTTCAAAAAGACAACTACTTACTTATGCACACAAATAACTGTCAAGTACAGAGAAGGAAACAATGGAAATTGGAAAATGGAAAGTTTTTTCGAATCCACAATTAAATCAGCAAATTTTCAAATTTCAATCGTTTGCCTAGATTCGCATTCATTTCATCGCATCAAATCAAAATAAAATCAATCAAGTCTCGAACAAAACAAACTTGACTCAAACTGCGCATGCGCCAACCGCCAGCTGAGAGGTTTTTCTTGGGCTTTCCGCTTTTCAGTTTTCGTATGCATAGGTCTGTTCTTTTCGCAGCAAAGTCTGAAATAGTTCCGCCCTCGGCCTCGAGCTTTGAATATCTAGTAATGGAATGGGCTTACTGATAAAAATCGAATATAAACATCTGTGCTCAACTTCGAACTCGTGGGCCGCGGTTAACAGTGAATATGGTGTAATTGTGGTAGTGTGGTAGTGCCAGGAATGGGCGCGATTCGAATCATTTTTGATTCGAATCACGATTCGAATCCAAGAAATTTTGATTCGTATTCGTATTCGAATCCTCTCAAACCAACCTGGATTCGCGATTCGAATCATCAAATAATGCTCTGCAAATCACCGAATCACGAATCAAAAATTTTTTACAAATTTTGCAGTAAGCACTGGTAATTGTTGGAGAAAAATTTCCTGTATTGTATTTGGTGTGTGAAAAAAGTCTTCAAGTCTATAAAAACTATGATTTAGGCACAACAGACACTGATGTGCGGAAATGATTCTCTGATTTTGCCCTTCCCTGAAAAATTATACGAAATTGACACCAAAACTGTGATTCGAAGTGTGATTCGAAGAGTATTCGTAATTCGAATCATTTCAAACATGAGATGATTCGTATTCGTATTCGAATCACTTTTTCCCTCGGAGGATTCGTATTCGTATTCGAATAACTTTTTTTTTCACTATTCGTATTCGTGATTCGACTCATTTTTTTCGCGATTCTGCCCAACCCTGGGTAGTGCATACACACACGAATTTGCGGCCCGTGAGGTTGAAATTTTTCCCCAGATGTTGCATTAAGTGATAAGAGTACGAACAATAGGTATGCCCATTCCATTACTAGATATTCAAAGGCCTCGAGGCATTGACAAA